ATATATATAATAAAATAAAGGTGTTATTGGAGACGTGGAGTTCATTGTTTCTCTATGATTTAATTGTCCAATATTGTATATGGTCAACTATAATCTTGGCAGTTCATATTCGTTTTGAAGAAAAAAAAAAAGGGTCTCATTTAGCATTCATGTGGTTTTTTATTGGGTTTATGTGTATTTGAGTGGGTTTTTGATACAAGAGACTATGTTTGGGAAGAGGGAGGGAGAGGGCAGCGTGAACAGGATTTGGATGATTTTAGAGCGACTTTAATCTGTTGGATACAAAATAATCCTACTTGAGCTTTAGTACACAAGTAATGATACTTGTCTATTGGCTTATGTTGTTGGGTTGATGGGTCTTTCCATTAGTATTTTGGGCTTTACTTGGACTCCAATTTCCTACCCTCATACTCATCCATGGACACCATAGATATTAATGCATGCCACGTTTACTATTTCATTTTTCTGGCTGATTTTGGGCATCTGAATGTTTGAAGCTGTGTAACTTTGTAGGCATGGATATTCACTCTTAAAAATAGCACCGGCTGATTTAAATATTTTTATCGCAGGTTATTGATTTTGAACTTCCCATCGCTGTTAAGCTAACCATAACTGATGTTGATCCAGGTGTAAGAGGTAACACTGTACAAGGTAATAAATATGATTTGATTGGAGACTATTCAGTTACTTGTAGATAGAGAATGTATTTTAGTAAATGATAATTTATTGGGAAATCTATATACTTAGCACACAATTCTTATGTATTTTCATATCTCACACATAGGCTTTCATATTTACATACATAGCTCTTTGGCGCTTTAAATTTATGCATGAAACGTTGTATTTCACTTTTAAAAAAATCTTATAAGTGCTATTTTTTTATGTGATGTTATAAGAGATTTAAGTGATCTGTGTGTAAAAATGAAATTTTAGGTGTGAGATATGTAAATACATAAGAATTGCGTGCTGTGAATGTACATGCCCCCTAATTTATTTTTCACTCATTTGATGATTTGAAGAATTGTCAATGGTACTTTAATATACATATTATTTTCATACTACACCCAATCAAATGATGGAATATAGTAACTTCTCCATCTTTTAAACAACGATTTGCAAAATTCGAACCGGATGAATCCTTGGCATATTCTTCTCTTGTTAACTTTCTCTATACCATAGCATAATATATATTTCTCTAAGCTTAGGAGGAATAAATGATTGACACTGCAGGAGGATCCAAGCCAGCAACACTTGAAACGGGTGCTGTGGTAAATGTTCCATTGTTTATGCAAAGGGGTGAGGAGATAATGATAGATACTAGAACAGGACAATACATGAGCAGGGCATGAATTTTACCGACTTTCTGCTCTCCTGATTGTCTTCAGGTTCAAAATTTTACTCTTTGATTTCCTGATTCAGCGGTCTTTTGCTTTATTTTGACTTCAAGTTTCTGAGCCATTCTTGATTTGTTTTGTTCTACAAGATGACTTTGTCTTTTACCTTTTATATTTGTTTTCAAAATTAGGCACCTGAGTAGTAAATAAGTTTCGGCGTTTCTTTATTTGTTTTTCTCAAGGCTAGTTGTGTTTCTCTCTGAAATTGTGAAAACGTTTGTATGATGATGTTTTTCTGCTAGTTTAATTTTAGTTAGACATCTTTACTTTCATGGTTAGTTTGTTGATTCATTGAGGTTGTTTAGCATTGATAAAGCTAGCTCTTGAAAATAATTTATATGTGTGAGAGATATTTCTAAATTTTAACTCTTGCAAGATGCATTATCTTACTAGCTGGCAGTATCTGTTTAATGAAAGAAACAAAGAATGTGACATAAAATAATTCTGTAGTTGAGAAGAATCAAAGTTGTCAGGCAGCATCTAGAGCGGATCAGAATGGGCGATTGCCCCTCGTGAAATTTATAATTTCTCTATATAAATTGTAAAAGAAAAAAATTTATGTAGTTTAGGCAATTTAGTAATTATGCTACCACCCCCCCCAAAAAAAAATGATTTATTTGATGATTTTGTCGACTACTCAAAATAATGTTGGTTCTGCCCTTATATGAGATAGACTGGCAGCTTTCTGTCAATTAGGCATAAATTTTCTTCTTTTGAGTAGATGGTTTTGAGCATAGAACTTTTCAGTGTGGGAGGAAATGACCAACTACTGGACCTTCATCTTATCTGTCGTATAACCCTTTTGAAACTATTATCTTTTTTTTATCCAATGTTGTTGATATATTTAAAAGTTATACTTTATAGGTAGATGTTTTTGTTATTAAAAACAAGAGGGTTCGAGCGAGTTTTGGAGAAACACTAGAGAACCGTTCAAAGAAGTGCGGGTTCTTCATTCTTATATAATCAGCCCATTTTATTCTCTTGAAAAAAAAAAAAAAAAGATGTTTGCTAGCCTTCAAATAAAAAGAAAAATCAAATCAACTTTTATTCTTCAAGAAAAAAATTCCTGCTCAACATGTTGAATGAATAATTGCAGCATTTACATGCCAACCAAGTCTTATGTATTTACATTTGAACCCCTAAACCTTGTTTTTTTCATCTTTATACAGCCCAAATGTTTTATATTACATCTACAATGTCCCTATTTTAACTTAAAAGTGAAATATACCTTTTTATACAGCCCAAAATTTTACTTTGATTTCATATCACAGGTATATAAAAAAATTCCCTACCTAAACAAGTAATTACTAACTTACTAGTGCAGTGAGAGCAATATTTTGAGAGAGATTGTTGCCGTGGTTTTGGCCTTTGGTTTAGTATCTCACATTTGCGGGTAGGGCTATAAACAAGCAACTTGCGTGAGCTCAGGTTTGGCTCTTATTTCATTAAAAATTAATTGTGTTTGAAATTGACACGTTTGATTATTCGAAATTGGTCCGATTAAACTAATCATAAAAAGAAAAATGTAAAATATTGAATTCAAATTTGCATCATTCTTATGCAATAATAAAAAAAAACATAAAATCACATGGCTCAAATACTATAATGATTTGAACTTATATATAAATATATATGACATTATTATATAAAAAGACATATAATATTCTTATTCGAGCTAAAATGAACCTATCATGATCCAAGAAAAAAATTATTCATGTTCGCTTGTTTATACTTCGAGCTTAAGAAACATGATCGTTTTCACGTCACTTAACGAACCATTCTAACATATATTACTTCATGAGCCGAACATTAGTTATTCACGAACATCGAACCTTTTTGACAGCCCTATCTTGACCATCATGATCAACTTCTGCATACATTTTTCTTTTCCTCTAGTTAACCACATCCAAAAGGCGCAATTTCAGTTCAGTTGGGTGATACTCAACAGTTCTAAACACATTTATTTACTTGATATATTCTTATAACTTCTAGAAATTTCAGTGATAAAAAATTATTTTTAAAAATCATCTGTTAAAAGATGATAACTTGGCAAAGTTTTTATATGAATTTTTTTCATTAAAAAAATTATAATACACAGCTTTTAAAGTTCTATCCCTCCATCATGATTTTACAATAAACTACCCCAACAAAACTAATAAATTCTTGCTAATAAATCACCAATGTTGAAATCCACATCAAGCATAAGAAAAACTAAACAATTAGGCTACAATCAATTAACAAATAATGAAGATATATATATATATATATATAAACTTCCACTAGGTGCGTTGTAAGTCACATCTATCTAGAGTTTGAATCAATCTGAGTCAAATTAACACATATGGGGTGGACAAACACCTTATTATTGAGAAAAAAACTTCCATTAAAATCTCACATTATCAATCATTATTCTATCACAGCACATCCCCATTCAATTAACATAATAAAACCACAAAAAGATTAATATAATTCAAAATATACATTATTATATATATTAAAAAAAAAAAAAAAACTTTACAACTCGGGAAGAAATTCAGCACAATGAAACTGCAGCATGTTTCAAATATCAGAATGGTGGATTCGATTGGGCGTTGCTTCTGCGTCATCATTGTCCAATGGCATGTATTGAGCCATGATGGCCCGAATCTCCGAGTTCACATAACTCTTATGAAGTATCAAGGAAAAAATGAAGAATGGTAAGAAATTGTTTTTTTTATAAATAAATCATTTGGGTTATTTTTGAACTATCTGATCGTTGTATCTACGTGTGTCATAATCAAACTATTAAAAGTTTGATAAAACTGAAAAAAATATGAGCAGAGGTTTTATCAAGAACTTTGATATTTGAGTGAGAATTTGAAAAATTTATAAAAGATGATATGATTGATTTGTAAATAGTCATGTTTTAGAAAAATTATTCCATTGGGATCGGACACTGCACGCATCTTGCGAGATGCGTGCGGTGTTCGATCCTGATTTACGGTCATGATGTATTTCGGTGGGTCCCACCTAAATTTTTAAAAAAAAAAACTGAAATAATTCTGACCGTAGATCACCGTGATCTACGGTCAAGATCGGACACCGTATGCAATAATTTTTCCATGTTTTAGGTGCTTGTATGTAATAATATAAAAGGAAAAATAAGTAATAACTTGGAAGGATGGAATTTTGGCATTGCAGCAGTCCAAGACTTTTAAAAAAAATAAAAAAGAAAGAAAATCTGCTATGCACCGAAAATAATTTACATAGATGCATGACACAGTAAACATACAATATAAATGTTGATATTTCCTTTTTTTTATATCTATTATCTAAACTAATATCATGTCCTTCATTTCAAACACGCAAGGAGAAGAAGATCACCCAATACCCTAGCATAAACTTAACATAATGCTTTTTAAATATTTTAAAATTTAGGGTATTTAATATTGTTATTGTTAGGTCTCAAGTCCCGGATATAAAAAGTGGAGGGTGGGTTGTGTTAGATAGTTGACAGCCAACATAAAATTTATCGAAAAATCATGACATTAATTTTTGAAAGCCTTGTGTAAATGATGCGGCGTCCTCTGGAAGCGACGCGCTCTATGACTTAAATACAATGAAAAATGTGCAAGGGTCGCTACACCGCTGCACGGGAGTAATGTCAAATAAGTAATTGTTCCCACATTACGGACGGATGTGGGTAAAAAAGTTAGTATAAGAAATTAATATTAGGATAGGATCATGTAATATAGATACTCTCACAGGTAAATGAAATTACTTGATATTATGATTTATAAGAAGATAAATATCTTATGTATTAAAGAAACTAAATAGTTGGAGAAAAGACTAAAGAGGGAGAAAAGACTAAAGAGATTGATACCTTAGGTTTTAAGCTTTGGTATTCAAGTAGGCGTCGCACTAGAAATGATGTAGGTGTAATTATAGATAAGAATTTGAAAGATAATATATTTGGGGCTTAGCCTAATTTAAAATCAAAGTGCCAAAATTCATAGGGCTAAACTTAAATTGAAATTCTAATACCCCTAATTGAGGAGCTACGTTTTATTTGAAAGTCTTGTCACCGGATTAGTAACATGTTTGCAAGCAAAAAAAAAAAAAAACGTATTTCAAATAAATTAAAGTGAGCATATCCATGCATCGAAGTATTCAATTAAATAAGCAAATTCATATAACTTCAATCTTATTTGTTTCATTTTTAAGGCAATTATTGATTTGATTCAAGCTTTAAAATTATGTGTATTGCCTTAAAACATGCAGAGTTGTTTAAAGTAACCAAACACATAAAATGAAACTTTGTATGTGCTCTAACCAATGTGTTAGATACTCAACAACTAGGTTTTCAAGAATGCTATGCAGGTTAATCGGGTTGTCTTGTCTATTGGACAAGGTTGTAAGTCACACCCACTAGTCTGATCCTCCTCCTCGCAAGTACTGGAGTTGATGTGTTTAGTAGTTTTAAACTAAAACGTCTAAATCCCAAAATAGAAATTCACAAGTCCAAATTACTTAGTCTGATCCTTCTTCTTTTAAGGACAAGAGTCGACAGGACTCATATCCTAAAAGTCTAAAATGACAAAATTAACTTCCCCCTTCAAATATAAAAATGTTAAATGTTCAATTTCCCAATAATGACCGTGTTGATAAAATTCTCAACCGGAGGGGTCAATCTCTTAAATTATAATTTTAAAAAATAATAAACTAAAATTCAAGTTAAAATTAATCACTTAAAAAGACTCAAAATAAAATTCATCCACATACTGCAACAATTTGTCAAGGTGATAAACTTCTGATTGACTTTAAGTTATAAAAATCAAATGTCACATAAAATATATCAATATATTCACAATCAAACTAATTGCATATCAATAAGAATGCGGCCCGACTCCTCAATTCATGGGGAGCGGTCGGAATTTTTAGAGCTCACAAATCTATGCAAAAAAAAAAATCATAAGAATTGGGTGATCTGTGCGTAAAAATTGAAGTTTTGGTGGTTGATATTGTTAAGAGTTATGATAGGAAATAATTTATTCTTATAAATAAATTATTTCCTTAGAATTAGAGTTATGATAGGAAATAATTTATTCTTGTAAATAAATTATTTCCTTAGAATTAATGAGATATTTATTTCCCTATTTTACGTTATTTCCTATATCTCCTAATAATTAATGTGAATTAATTATTAGAGATATTAAGTGTTATACCCTTCCTTTCATATCATTTACCTTTTATTATTTTTCTTTTTACAAGATTACTGTAAGGGTTATTTATAACCTTATTCATATTAATGAAAAAGTGTGTATTCCACCACATTATTCTGAGTTTTAACATGGTATCAGAGCAAACACGATTTTGAGTCTTACCATCTCTTCTTCCACGCAAAAACCCCATCTATCTTCTTTCTAAGCCAAAACACATGGCAGACGAAACTCAAAATTCAGCAAAACCTGAATTTAGCAAATTCAATAATCCGAACGACCCCTTTTTTCTCCACTACTCAGATCAACCTGGTCTCGTGCTTGTTACGCAACCGCTGAATGGAGAAAACTACAATTCTTGGAGTCGTGCCATGTTGATGGCTCTCAACATCAAAAACAAAGAAGGTTTTGTCAACGGCACCGTCCAAGAACCACCAGAGACGTCCACCGCAGAACTTCAACAATGGAGGCAACCTTGTCAAGGCATGGTTATTTAATTCAATTGCAGAAGACATTGGAGCAAGTATAATATATAACGACAGTGCCCATGAAATCTGGCTCGACTTGAAGGAATGTTTTTCTTGTACCAACAGCGTTCATATTTTCCATATCGAAGAAGCCATCCACGATTGCAAGCAAAGTGATATGACAGTTGGAGCTTATTACACCAAGATCAAAGGCCTATGGGACGAACGTGACACCCTCCATAACATTCCTAAATATATGTGTGGTGTCATGAAGGAAGTGATGCAGGATCAGCAAAATCAGAAAAACCATGAAATTCTTCATGGGGCTTAATGAAACATACACTAGTATAAGAGGACAAATTTTGCTCATGGATCCCCTTCCCAATGTCAGCAAGGCACATTCTCCCGTGCTCCAAGATGAAAAGCAGCACGACATGAACAATGTAAATGCGCTGAAGCCGGAAGCTTCAGCTTTTGGCGTGAAGAATAACGCACCTGAGAATGTTTTCACACCTAAAAATCCTCATTTAAAGTGTGAAAAATGTGACAAAATTGGGTATACCTCAGACACATGTCGAGCACATCTCAAATGCGATTATTGTGGATGGCAGAGACACACCATCAATGACTGTAGGAAGTTACAAAGGACCAATCTAGCGGGCAATAAATCTGAACGGAAAAATTTTGCTCCCAAAGCCAACCATGGGGATAACGAGTCCTGCACCATTCACCCTTACAACTGAACAATATCAAAGCCTCATATCACTACTTGCAGAGAACAAATCTAATTCCATGGCTAATCATGTTGGCAGTACATCAACCATGAGTGATATCTTAGGTAAAATTTTTTTTACCTCTGTTTTTCGTAAAAAAATAAGCTGGATTCTTGACACAGGAGCCACAGATCACATGATATATTCAGTCAACCTACTTATTACAAAATCCAATGTCACCAATCGAAAGTTCACTTGCCTAACGGGGCTACTGCAAGTGTCACACACATAGGCAACATCCATTTTGCTGAGTTTGTTCTACAAAATGCTTTATGTGTCCCCTCCTTCAAATTAAATATGATTTCCATTAGTAAATTTTCACAAAAGAGCAAGTGCAATGTTTTTACTTCACCATCTCCAAATCTCTGGCATAAACGTCTAGGCCACCCATCAAATAAAGTTTCCAGCTTGTTTCCTTTTCCAATTATAAACAAGAATATTAGTAATGTTTTTGATTGTTTAATTTGTCCATTGGCTAAGCAAACTCGTTTACCTTTTCAAACAAGTTCCATTAGCTCAAAAACACCTTTTGAATTAATTCATGTTGACATTTGGGGAGGATACCAAGTTCCTTCAATCACTGGAGCGCGGTATTTTCTCACAATTGTTGATGATTATACTCGATGCACATGGACTTATTTGATGAACCATAAATCAGATACACACTCATACATCATCAAGTTCATAAATCTCGTTGAAACACAATTCAATCTAAAAGTCAAAATCATTCGAAGTGATAATGGTCCTGAATTCATATTGAGGAATTTTTATCTCGACAAAGGCATCATTCACCAATCAAGTTGTGTCTCCACTCCACAACAAAATGGTGTAGCCGAAAGAAAACATCGTCACTTACTCAACATAGCCCGAGCCTTATTGTTTCAAGCTAATTTACCCAAAAAATTTTGGGGAGATGCAATCCTAACTGCCACCTACCTAATCAACAGAACACCAACACCCCTTCTCCATGGAAAGACTCCTTTTGAAATGCTCTTCCAAACAAAACCAGCATATGATCATTTGCGTGTGTTTGGGTGTCTTTGTTTTGCCTCAACACATCATCAACGACCAAACAAGTTTGATCCCAGAGCCATTCGATGTCTTTTCTTAGGATATCCATATGCACAAAAGGGTTATAGAGTCTATGACCTTTCAACTGGGAAGATTTTTGTATCACGAGATGTTCGTTTCCATGAAAACACTTTTCCTTCCCCTTCTTTCGCTACAGATAAAGGCTCAATTCCGCACTTCACCATCCACACTGACATGCCTTCATTCGATGAATTACCTCAAGAAAATATTTCATCTTCTCAAGACAATGAAATCCCCTCTGAAGAGACTACCCCACCTTCAAATTTCTCCTCAGAACAACCTGCAACTCTAGACCAACAAATACCATCACCAAGATCAATAAGAACAACAAAAATGCCTAGCTATTTGCGTGAGTATCATGTTGGTATTTCTCTTCCCTCAAGACACCCACCAACATCGAACTCCGTGTTGGCCAAAACCACAGGTACCCTCTACCCATTAACCAACGTCTTGTCATATGCTAGATTATCACCTAAACATGGTGCTTTTACCACCGCCCTTTCAATTGAAAAGGAGCCAAACACCTTTGTAGAAGCCGCTCGTAATCCAAAGTGGCAGGTTGCTATGCGAGAAGAACTTGATGCACTCAACGTCAATGGCACATGGTCCCTTGTACCATTACCGCCTGGAAAGAGGCCAATTGGATGCAAATGGGTCTACAAAATCAAACTTCGGGCAGATGGGACAGTTGAACGCTACAAGGCCAGATTAGTGGCAAAAGGGTATAATCAAATTGAAGGGCTAGATTACCAGAAAACCTTTGCCCCTGTAGCAAAGCTTGTAACTGTTCGCCTACTTCTTGCGTTAGCTTCAACCAAGCAATGGCATCTTCATCAACTAGATGTCAACAATGCCTTCTTGCATGGGGACCTCGACGAAGACGTATATATGTCGCTACCTCCTGGCCTCGAACGAAAGGGGGAGACTCGAGTTTGTAAACTCCACAAATCATTATATGGTCTCAAACAAGCTTCACGACAATGGTTCATTAAGCTTTCCACCGCTCTAAAGCAAGCCAATTTTATGCAATCAAAGGCAGATTATTCTTTGTTCGTCCGATCCCAGAATGGTAAATTTATCGCCCTTCTTATATATGTAGATGATGTCATCATTGCAGGGAACGACTTACAAGAAATCGAACATGTTAAAATATCCTTGAAGAACCAATTCAAATTAAAGGACCTTGGACAATTGAAATATTTCCTTGGTATTGAGGTTGCACGATCCCAGAAGGGTATTGTGCTTTCACAGCGAAAGTATGCTCTTGAAATACTCGAGGATGCTGGGTACCTCGGTGCGAAACCAGCCACTTTCCCTATGGAACAAAACTTGTCCCTTAGCAAATCAGATGGAGAATATGTCAGTGATCCATCATCATACCGAAGACTAGTTGGGAGATTAATCTACTTAACTATTACACGTCCAGACTTGACATATGCAGTTCATGTCTTAAGTCAATTTATGGACAAACCACGAGTGCCACACTTAGAAGCAGCCCATCGTATTCTACGTTACATAAAACAAACAGTTGGACAAGGAATTTTCCTCTCAGCAGAAAGCTCAACCCAACTAAATGCCTTTTGTGATGCAGATTGGGCTAGGTGTCGTGACACTCGAAGATCAGTTACTGGGTATTGTATCTTCCTTGGGAGTTCATTAATTTCTTGGAAAACCAAGAAACAAACCACAGTATCACGCTCTAGTGCAGAAGCTGAATATCGGTCCATGGCCACTACCTGCTGCGAGATTATTTGGTTAAGAACAATTCTGCAAGATTTGGGGATCATGCATTCACATCCTGCCAATTTATTTTGTGATAACCAAGCAGCACTTCACATCGCCTCGAACCCGGTATACCATGAGCGAACAAAGCACATCGAGATTGATTGTCATCTCATACGGGAGAAA